GTGTTTATTTTGTTTAGTTCTGTTTTCCTAACAGATTTAATGTTTAGTATAGAGCTTAGAAAAAATTCGCAGTGTGAGATAGGCAAGAAGTAAGGCATGTAGCAACATCAGCACGGCAAAGGGCACTCCTTTAAAGGCAAGAAAAGGCAAAAATATTTTAAGTCAAGTGATAGCGATTGCTGTATGAGTAGTACGATTTTTGAATCAAGCACGGGCAACGCCGGGCCATGCTGCTAGTTTGATCATAATTGCTTCTTCGGTTTACACCTTTTTCAGTTAACGAAATATTTCGTTGAGACGCTTCGAACGTTTCGATGCGAGTGAGAATCTATAGTGCGATCAATTATAGAATTTTTGCAAAAACAACAGCTCATAAGGATTCCTTTCTCTTGAAAGCGTTTGAAAGTCATTTGCCCTGACAAGGCTTGAAACTTCTCTTTTTTTTTTTTAACTGGACGATCAATTGGAAATATCTTTATGTTCTCCATCATACCAAAGTTGTAAATCATTTTCACTGGTGGCCTGCATTTTGACAGGTGTCAACAGAAACTTCATTTTCTCCGCGGGCCACAATGTGTGCACCTGAATGAACGGGGCAGTCAGCTGAGGTTGGGGAAATTTGTGGGCGGGGCGCGCTGGTGTAGGGGAGGGAGTTAAAATATGGCCGTCGAAAATAGCAGGCCGTTTGAATAGAGCTAAATTAGTTCTTTTTTTTTTTTTTTTGGTAATCTCATAGCCACCCACCCTGTGACGTGTCAGAAAATGGAACAAGCGACTTTACGAAGAGTGTCAAGAAAAGTTGTTTTTTCTTACCCCAGGATAGAAATTAAAGAATTGGGTAGGAAAAAAATAAACCAAAAATGAATGAATAAACAAAAAAAATTACAGGTAAAAAAAAAAAAATCAAGGAAAATGGCGTACTTTCGTTTTCAATTTTACCTGTAATTTTTATTCTTTTTTTTTCCTTTCTCCGCCACCCCACCTGGTTCGTCAATTATTTTTCTATATGTATATTGAATTTTTTCTATAAGTATATTGAATTTCTTATGCGATCGTCAAAAGTTCCCATATTTTAAAAATATATCAGTGAACGAAAACTCCTTACTGAAGTCTGAAATAACACGATGTTGCAAAAATATAAATCATTAAGTTAGTACATTTATAAAATGCAGGGACAATTGGATTCATGCCTTTCCAAAAATATTTGCGAAATGAGCACAAGGTATCAGTTAAAATGTTAATTCCATTTAGAGATACTAATGTAATGCTACCTAATATATCTATTATAGAATGCAGGGAGAACTGGATTCATGCCGTTCCCAAAAATATTAATATGTAATAAGCACAACGACACAGTTAAAATTTGAATTCTGCTTAGCGATAATAATTACCGTAAGGCTAAATATTATATCAATTCAGTACATTTCTAGATTGCAGGGAGAAGTGAATTCGTGCCTTTCCCAAAATATTAGTGAGAAATAACACAAAATCTCAGCTGAAATTTGAATTCCATTTCTTCTTCTTCAGTGTGTTGTATTTTTCAAGACGGTTACGGCTCTTCACAACTACATGTTCTTTGTAGCTCTTAGTAAGTTTTAAGCTTTTGGCTATCTCTCGCTGTCCCTTCACTCATTTACAGAAGCTTGTAAGGTATGTTATTATACTCTGTTCCTCTTGCCTTCAATATGTCCTGTGAGTATCAAATTCTCCAAGCCCTCTTTCTTCCCTGTGTGCACTAAAAATTTTAGTTGTCCCTTTTTGATTTGAAATATGCGTTTTTGTTTGCATTTTCTTTAAAACATCGTCGTTGCTCACATGTTCAGTCCATGGTATTCTCAGCATCCTTCTCTGAAAGAAAGTAGCTTGTTTGTACATGGCTTTTTTCAACTGAAAGTATGCGTTATTTTTAATAATCATCGTTCAAACCAGATGAAAATAAATTTTGTTGCATAATAAAATTATTTTTTTTTGTTTCGGTTACATGTTTCACTTTGAATGGGTGGCGGAAAGCCACTCGAACGCAAGAGGCAACAGAGAGTTGGAGCGAGAGTAAATAGAAGTGATAGAGGAAAGGATGAAGAGAAGGGTAAGGGATAGATCAGGACATCTGGAGACTTCGATTGACATTACATTTGAATAGTTGGAGATTATAGCTATCAGGGAAACAAGAAAAGGGGAGGGAGTTCCACAAGCGAGAGTTGCGAGATATGAAGTTATTGAGGTAGAAAAGACGGCTACATTTAACACTTTCGACAGTGAAAGGGTGAGAGCGAGATGCCAGCCTAGTTGAACGTTTAAATTCATGAAGTCTGGGAACCAGCGAAAGCAGCTCATCAGAGCAGTTACCATGAAAGTATTTGTAAAAAAAAGGCAGAGAGCGGCGATGGCACGTCTGTGAGAGAGCGGCTGCAGACGAGATGCCAGATCAGGGCCAATTACATTGCATATCCGTCTTTGGATTTTATCAAGAACCTTGAGACAAACAGAAGGGGCTCCAGACTACATATGGCAGCAATACTCCATGCAAGGGTGAATGGTTGATTTATAGATTTCAAGGATCGTCTTCAACAAGAAAAATTTCCTACCGCGGCACAGGAAGCCAACTTTCCTAGCGGTGGACGAAGCTATTGACTCAATGTATTCGTTCCATCTCAGATCAGCAGTCAATGTGAAATCGAGCAGTAGCGAACAGGTTCTCTCGTGGAGTTAGATATTCTAATGGGGGCGGGGCAGGGATGGTTCTCTCTGGTGAGTAATAGAGAGCAGTTTTGTTTTTGAGACATTAAAGTTAACCAGACAATTCCTGCCCCGGTCCACAACCGATTGGAGGTCTTTTTCAAGACAAACGCCCAGATTAGTCTTGTCGGCGACACTAGATTTGTTTTTGAGGCAGGAGTAAATGGTAGTGTCGTCCACACACACACACACACACACATATACATATATATATATATATATATATATATATATATATATATATATATACCTTTCCTGGCGCAACATAACGGTATTATCTATTGTGCACATGATCTTCTTGTCTTTCCCTGGTGTTATCGACGCGACTTTTGTACACAATGCGAGCTGTGCCTAAACATACATACTTGCTTACTTCCGTTATAGAACAACGCTGCTTTCTATCGTGCTCCGAAATTCACGCTGAAACACGGGTCTTGTACGATCACTGAAGTTAAGCCTAGATTGGTGACCTCTTGGAAATACCAGGTGATATCAGATTGAGTGTGCTCGTGTTGTAATGGGTAACGTTTCGGAATTGGAAATCAGAGAGCCAAGTTTCAATTCCACTCGGGTTCGTTATATTCGATTACGCGCAAGTGTCCTTGGAAAAGATATGACTCCACCTCTTATCTCCCCACGTATGGGTTAATTAGTATCAGCAAATCATTAGCAGATCCAAAAAGTGCTTATAATCTAAAAATATTTTCTGGCTTTAAATAACCTGCAAAAGCTTTAAAAAAATCTGATCAATCAAAATTTACATTTTTTTATAACTCTTCAGAATGTTTCTTTTGACAGATTTTGAGAGATCTTATTGTTGAAACGTTTTCGCTTTGAATGGACGTGTATACATTGCTTGGTGTAGAGTAATGATACTAACAATAATGTCCGTGATTTTCTCGGATTGTTCTGATGTTATTGATGCGAGTTGTGTACATAATGCGAGCTGTGCCCAAACATATAAACTTGTTTGCTTCTTTGTTTTCTTTCTAAGCATACAAAAGTGTAGAAAGCTGCGTACAGTTTGAAAGTTCAATTTTCCTCCAAATATGAATTAGATAAGATTAGACAGAAAATTTGCCTAATTTCAACGTCATGAAGAGTCATTATGATGGAGCCGTTTAAAGTGCGGGTGTTTCGCAAACATTTAGAAGAATCAAAAGGAAAAAAAACAACTTTTTACTTCCTGAATTTTAAGCATTTTCCTGAAAGTTCTTGCTGACTTGAAAACCGTTCCGATTACTCGGCTCTCTAATTATTGCATCCTCTTTACAAGGATCTACGGTACTAGATAGTGTTCCAATGACTCCGAGCACGACCGCCAATTTTAACAGGAGGAATTTTCGCTCACCTCGTTCATGATATTGATATAAAACTTTCGATGACACGATTCGACAATGTCATCTGCGTGAGGAACTTCGTACACTATCTGTCATGGAAAACAATTATTTGCTTAATGAAATATTTATTTTAACTCTAATTGGAGGCGAATTTTTTAGCTACTACTGTCATTTTCATTAGTGTTAACACATTTTTATCTGGTATTTCCTATTAAACAGCTAGATTTATAGGGGTGGTAGCACTTGTTAGGGTTCCAGCTATGGGCAAATAGTTATCCCCCAAACTGGGGTCAAAACCCTATGAAAGTGTAAAAAATCATGACCAGCAATAAATCTTTTAATGAAAAATTATTACCAGCAATGGATTTTTGAAAAAAAAAGTATTACTAGCAATATAGAAGATATATTGTGAGCAATATATTTTTGGAAAAAAAATTGTTACAAGCAATAGATTTTTGGAAAAATTATTACCAGCAATAAAAATCTTGTCGGCATTAAATAACTCATTGAGGTTGATACGCCGTAAAACAAAACAAACCAAACCAAACCTAGATTCATGAATGTACAGTTGAAATGGCTACATGCAACCGTAAGTTCTATTCTAATAGTTTCTTGCTTTCCAGTTAAATTTAATCTTCAAAAATTCAAATGCAATGTCAATCCTTATCTTCTGTCTTCTTAATTCTTATTCGTTAATTGTTCTCTCCTGTTAATAGTGTTTTTCCACATATTCTTGAACACTCAGTAACCAATTGCGACTTAGTGGCTTTATTGCCTTACATGGTCAAGTGATTAAAAACAAACAAAAGACTCGGACTTAACATGGAGGACAAAGAAAGAAACAGGCCTAGAGCGGGCTAGATGTACAGATATGAACAAATAGATAAAAGGGAACAGATGGATCAATAGATGGGTGCAAATAGACTATGATAGATAGATAGATAGATAGATAGATAGATAGATAGATAGATAGTGAACATACTCATATAGATAGATAGATAGATAGATAGATAGTGAACATACAGAAATAGATAGATAGATAGATAGATTTAAATAGATAAACGGAACAGATAGACCAATATGGACAGAATGGAGATAGATAGATAGATAGATAGATAGATATGGACAGAATGAAATAGATAGATAGATATAGATAGATAGATAGATAGATAGATAGATAGAATAGATAGATAGATAGATAGATATGTATGAACAGACACAGATACATACATACAACATACATATATACATACATACATACATACGTATGAACAGATTTAAATAGATAAAACGGAACAGAGAGACCAATAAGTAGGTGCAAATGGACAAAGATAGATAGATAGATAGATAGATATGAACAGACATACATACATACATTTGCTTGTTCTTGATCGCAACCACTGGAAATGCAACAGCAATTTTCATATCTTACCATAACGTAAATCGTTGTTGTCTAAGGCCATTGTCAGGAAAAGATAAGCGAGTCTGACGAGATTATTGATATGGCAAGAATAGGAAATTAAAAGACGGGCAAAGGGACAAAAGCATCAAAATGAATGACATTTAAAGAGACGAAAAAGAATGAATTAATTTGTGTCAATTCTTTAGTAAAGAAGAATAGAAATCGTCTCGATAAAGATCTAACTCTGGTGCCAAGGAAGTTCGAAGAAAGAAAGGAAGAAAATTAATTGAATTGGTAAGAAATGAAAAGAAAGCGAGAAGAAAGGACTAACCATCAACTGTGAGACGACAGAATGTAAGACCAACAGAAAGAGAAAAAAAAAGAACGTTAAATATCTGGTGTTATAACGGTGGGTGGGGATACGGTACCGAAATCCGAACCCACATTGGGCTAATCAAAAGCTAAACAAAGTATTCAAAAACTGAGAAATAAAGAAAAGAGTGCTGGATTGTTATGTGATGTCCATCTTATAGCGGCTCGGATTGAGGAATCGGAGAGCCGAGTTCGAATTCCAGTCAAATCCATTACATTCACTTACGTGCTAATGCCCTTGGAAAAGGTATGAATCTTCTCCTCTTCTTCTTCTTCTTCTTCTTCTTCTTCTTCTTCTTCTTCTTCCAGCTATGGGTAAATAGAGTTCTATAGCCTTGAGTGGCAACTAGTCTAGGAGAGGGACAAATCTGAACTCAAAACCTGATCCTCCAGATTCGGGGGTTGTGCACTAGGCTAACATCCTACTCACTTAAAAACTGGCTTGTTACAGAAACCACACTGATATCTTGCGACCCTATGTTCCTCGAGGAATTTAAAGGCATTATATATATATATATATATATATATATATATATATATATATATATATATATATTGTGTGTTTGTATTTAGGCAGTACTTTTACATTCATACATGTTTCATTAAATAATATAGATAAGTGTTGTCTATTTATTTTATGTAAAATAAATAGACAACACTTGTCTATATTATTTAATGAAATATATATATATATATATATATATATATATATATATAAAAAGTGTGTGTATTTAGGCAGCACTTTTCATTCATACATGTTTCATTAAATAATATAGACAAGTGTTGTCTATTTATTTTATGTAAAATATTATTTAATGAAACATATATATATATATATATGTAAATATTATTTAATGAAATACATACATATATATATATATATATATATATATATATATATATATATATATATATATATTAAGTTATGAAGAACTTGGTAATCCGTATGGGTAATCCCAAGGAGGATGAAATCCTGAGAGCTCAATGTAAATCCAGAGCTAATATTTAAAAGAAAAACAGACCACTTTACGGTACCATTATGATTATTTATTTCACCAGAGTCCTTTTAAAGGAGGCCGGATCATCAGATAGCACTTCCAAAAATGAAATGAAACGAAAAAAGAAATTAAAATTGATGGGTAGTGTAAGTTTTTGTAATTTAACAGAGAGTGTAAAAGGGGTAGTTAAAGAGACATGGTAGAGTATAGGGAGGGATTAATTTCATATCTCTCTCAAGCATACTTTGTATTGGGGGAGGAGGAGTGACCAGACCTTGACCTATTTAGACGGTTAACTTAACGGAAGTGATATATTGAAATTATATAGGATGACCCCAAAAAACGGGAATTTTTGAAGTGCGTATTGTCAGACATGAGCAAGAGACAACACTGTGAGACAGTGACCTTAAACATTTCGCCATTTAGAATTCAAGATGAAATTCACAGTATCTCAGCTGAGATGTTGCAGCATTCAATGAGGAATCTCAACAGCAGATTTCAAGAATGCATTCGTACAGGAGGACGCCATCTACAGGACGTATTTTTTTAAAAAATGAAATTTCCATCATTGTTTCTTAAATGGCATGTTTTAAGGTTTCAATTACTATGAATAAAATATTTTTCTTCCATCACTCTTAGTTTTATTGGATTGTTAAAAAGTTCCCATATTTTGGGGGTCTCCTGTTACGGTTTTTTGGGTATATACCGTATGTAACTAGTGAGCGAGTCAGAATGACTTATTTCCCTTTATAGTCTACCAATAGAAGATTAACCAATCAGGATCTGCAAAACACTGTATCCATTGTGTATAAAGGCGGCCATCTTTGTTTTTCCTACCGGAATGACCAGAGGCAACTTGTCCGGCCAATAGGACAGACGGAAGAACTACGCTCTGATACTTTGCTGGGATATCCACTGCGAACCTGCACTACGCTTTCCTACTGTCTCCGAAATATTCACTGCCAACCTCTGGATTCTATACTCGAAGACGACCGTCATGAAAATGTATAACATAGGTTATGAGCCCAGCACGCTTCCACTGTATAATTATTACTTAAACCTTTGAGCCCTGGTAACCGCTTTACCGGTGGTAGAGAAAAATGATGTAATGCCCCGCCACCGGGTTAACAGTGAGTGAGAAAAATGGCTTCATGCCCAGTCACCGGTTGAAAGGTGGGTAAACACTTGTGACTATTTATATATCTACCTTGAAACATTACATAACAATTATTTTCGATTTTTCGCTTAGGAGCGAAGACAGAAAGGGTTAAAATTGTTCAGGAACACGGGGTTAAAAGGGTTAAATGTTATTTTTAGTAGACAAGCTGTTTATTTATTAAACAGCATATTTATTTATTTTCGTCTACCGGCCTGAATATAGAGAAATATTCGCTCTCTGGCTGGATTCGAACCTGCGTCCCCTTAGGGGAAGACGTCATTAGATCTGACGTGATTTAACCTCTCAATTACGGAGAATGTCCAAATAGTGCCTTCAAACACAAAATTTACTTCGACTTTCGAAATGGACATATAAGGCAATTTTTAAAGAAAGGAATGGATTTTTTTTATTTATTTATTAACCCAATAGATTTTTATTACTTAAAAGTTATTTTTAGTGGCTACTTGTATTTAAGTAGATGCTCCATGTATTTATTAAACAGTATATTTATTTATTTTCGTTTACCAGCTTGAATATCCAAGAAATCTTATTAGAGAAAAATATGCGCTTTCGAATATTCAGGCCGGTATTGTTGTCATAGAGATATGTATTTGTAAGATTCACCTTGGCAGTTTTAGAAGCCAATTAATTATATATATATATATATATATATATATATATATATATATATATATATATCTTACTTATTATAAAACGCAGATTGTGTGGGGGGGGGATCGGATTTCCTACATTTTTCAACCGATTTCAACAAAACTTCACAGGACTGCGTAAAATTACCTTACGGTGGTTCTGACAGCGGCAAAAATTGGAAAAACACAATTGTTTTTGCACGAAATCAATTTGAAAACACGATTAAGAGGCATCACGAGAATGAAAGGGGGACAACTTATATCGAGTTATATTTATTATAAAACCCAGGTTGTTTGTTTGTGTGTGTGTGTGTGTGTGTTGTGTGTGTGTGTGTGTGTGTGTGTGTGTTTATATATGGGATCGAATTTCTTACATTTTTCAACCGATTTCAACAAAACTTTTTTTTGGCAGGTAGTGTTTCTTATTGTCTTGCACACTTTTTTCTTTATTTTTACATTCAATATGCTTTAAAAATTCCATTTACAAGACAATTGTTTGTAATAAAATTCTATTCAATCAATAGACTCATAACGATTGAAAACAATGTTTTTGTTTGAGTTTGTTTTTGACCAATTCGTAAGAAAAAAAAACAAAAAGAACTAATTAAGACATGCGTGTCCGTCAACCTTAAACAATAATCTTTTGTCAATTTTATTTTTCAGTCTTTATAATGGTTGATACTAGATCTATCTCTTACTGTTACATCCCCGAGCAACGCTGGGTTCTATTGTTAGTATATATATATATCGAGAGAGAGAAAGGGGAGGTGAGACTATCTATCTATCTATCTGTCTCTCTCTACCCTACACGCAAGCCACTAATCTGCCACTAGGTGGCATGCCACTAGGGTTTAACGCTATTGGTCCGATGTAGGACCACTGGCAATGATACCACTGGCGAACAGCTAGAGACCCATCGTTGACCGCCGACAGCGTGCTGTCAGCCCGCCGGTGGGTGCCACCAGAAAACAGCTACCGTTTCTATCGGAAGCCCGCCAGCAGCCACTAACGCATTGAGTGTAAGGTATATGTCTCAGTCGGTTCGTATCTATCTATCTATCTATCTATCTATCTATTAGTTTGTCCACTTCACTCTCTCTATCTATCTACTCTTAGACTATCTTTCTATTTTTCTCTCTCTTCCTATATATATATATATATATATATATATAAGTGGACATAGAAGTCATCACTTAGAGGCGACAGTCTGTTTCATGCTATATGCAATGGTCAGGCCTGACTTCTATGTTCACTTTTATATTTACACACGCTCTTTCTCTGATATCGAGCACTTTATCCCATAAATATAGCACACCTTAAGACTATATTTCTTCATATATATATATATATATATATATATATATATATATATATATATACATATATATATATATATATATATATATATATATATATATATATATATATATATACTAAAAACAAAAACTGAATATATATATATATATATTACTGTAAACTTTATTTTATTTGTAGACGTGTTTAACTCTGTGTCTCTGTCACTCTGTATCTATCTCAATCTATTCATATCTATCTATCTAGCTAGCTAGCTAGCTATCAGTGGCGACATTAAAACATGGAGGTGGCTCGATAATATTTGGGGTTATTTTAGATCAAGGGGGACTGGACAATTAATTGTAATAAGATTAATAACGACATCTGCAGACTATATCAAAATTTTGGATGAAAATCTACAACTATCAGCGCAAAATCTTCATCTAGATCGGCGATTTACTTTCCAGCAAGATAATATTCACAAACATGAGTCTAAATCAGTG